TGCAACCCTCGACCTTCGGTCTCAGGCTTGCATTGATCTGCTCTCAAATTTTCCCAAAGGTCTCCTCGGTTTGCATAAGCCAGTGGAAACACGAAAATCATCTTTTATTTCTTTTGTAAAATAACAATAATGCGAAACAAACAGAACGTTTTAATACTCGTCAAAGTGTACTCAGAATTGATTTGCAAATTCTGGTTGATGGATTGTTTGATTTGATTGGTTGAGCTCATATCGTTTTTCCCAGGCTAAGGCAAACACAGCTCTAAACCAACCAGTGCACGCGTTCCATTGTGTTTATTTTGTAATTATTGATGACAAGCATTTAAAATCTGAGTTGTCATTTTTGAAGACAAATTTTTATTGAATGACCTCTATCATTTTGCTTTTTGCAGCTTAAGCTGTCAGCTGGTTAAGCAGTTCAAAATCTAGCGTCTATTATAAATCACTTCTATCTTACCAAAATTAGAACCAGTAGCGTCATAACTTGGGCCTTCATTTTTTTAAGTATGCTGCACGAAGTTCCCAGTTTAAGTCATTGTCTCCTTCCACATTGTGCCATGGACAAACAGTCGTTCCCAGTCCGTTTTGGAAATCACAGTTTTCGACTGAATGGGAAAAATATCGAAATTTGAATAGCCATATTAGTTGTTAAAAATAAAGCAGAAGCCTGAAATGCATTTGTATGAAACAAAAACACACCACACAAGACAACAGATTTTTAAGCAACGCTATGTTGCACAGCAAAGTTTAAATAATAAAAGCATCATAAACTTTTAAAGGTAAAAATGATTTTTCTTTTTAAAATGTTTATCAATTCTTCTTTTCTGTTTGGCAACATTTGTCGAAAGTTCAGCTGAAAAACCCGAAATTGTGTTAAAAGATTTCCAGTTTACGAAGTCATGGACAGACAGATATCTTTAATGTCCACTAAATTTATCATGAATTTTACCAAACAACTTATTAACATTACATTTTGTAACAAGAATTAACATTTTTCTACCTGCTTTGCTTTCAATGCTTTTATAATTAGCGGGCAGTGCAAAATCTACCTAGTGTGCATCTTAATTAAACGATAATAATGGTAATTCTAATCTACATGGTGTGTCAAAAAACCCTGAAAAATTTGGAAAACGACACTAAAGTCATTTGGGCATACGATTTGCAAACATGTTTCGTGGAAATAGTCAGTTGGATTTCGAAGGCGTTATCTGAAAGTAAAATTGTCTCAAATAAGAAAAATTTATAACGTAAAAATTGTGTTACAGAGAAGCACATTTGAAATAGCTTGCGCATAAAAGTCATATAGGTAAAAAGAAATTGGAAGATATAGGGCTACAATATGACACATGTTTTTAAAGGTAACGAAGTTTTAGGAAATTTTGCTAATGAGTATGCGAATGCATAACATTTAAGTTGCGAATTGCTTTGAATTTTTCATTTTTAAATGGAATTTTTAAATTATCCTTATTAATTATCCATAAATTTGAGGGTAAATTTAAGTCAAATATGACTAATTCATGAAGGTTTCAAAACATGGCAAATAAAAAAAACGCTAAATAATCTGCAATTTGAATGCCAAGTGTTTGTCTAAGCTTATACCTAATTTCATAAAACTTTGAAAAGGTGAACAACATGTACCATATTTTAACCTTTCTTGTTCCAATTGCTTTTTATTCTTTTGATTTTCCAGCAAGAGTTTTTTCAAAAGCATTTTTCGGTAACACAATTCTCCCACGAAATCGTTTTTACTTGCCAAAAGTTTCTGTCAGATGAAGCAGTTATTGGAAGTCGAACTACCTATTTCACTAAAGTTTTTAAAGATCTTGCGCGCTGATGAATTTAGAGAGGTTTTTCTGATTGTTCAATTTTTTTATATAAACCCTGTATAAACAACATGCAAATTATGTACGTTAAAACTTTTTTAATATGGAATGTAAGCTATTGGCCTGTCCTTGTAACTTTTAGTTATATGGAATTTTGAAAAAAGCAGCATTACGTTTATTTTAAGAACTCTCTTGCTTTAACCTCAATACAAATTTTACGATGCAATTTAACAGAGATGTATTTGGTAGTATAATAGAATTATTGTTATTTCAGAAGTTAGAGAAAGTGATGTTATTTTTGTTTTATTTATAGAGTGCCGTGCTTTTCCAGGCTTTTAAATTGCTTTAAGAAGATTATTTGTTCGAACCTCATTTTGGTGAGAGCTACTCACGTGATGAAGGTAAATAAAAATAAGTGGTTAAACGTGACATAGCCTGCGTAAAAGCTACAGACGCAACTTTTCACTTTGTAGTAAGGCATGCAGCATTGCGTTTGTTAACAGATTAATGTTTGTGTTCCAATATCGTTAAGCACCTGCGAAAAAGGTTGAGATCAACAAACGAAAGAACTGGGAATGAGCGTTGATGCTCTAACAAAAGAGAGGCCTGGGAATGAGACTAAGATTCATGTGAAGCTTTTATTGGATTTGTTCAAAGGAGGAAAGCATTGATTTTTCTGTCTGTTTCAAGGTTTGCGCTTCTCTTTGAACTCCTTGCGAAGCCCTTGAAGCACAAACTTACTTTTGTAATCAAAACAAATATTTCTTGATATTCAATAATTAAAAAAATCATAAGAAAATATTTTCAAACTACTGCTTTATAAAATAGATAAAGAAAATCAACAGCATGCATTGTCTTCACTTCTATTGTACGGAATGGAGCGTCGAAAGACTTGCCAAAAATACGAATTTTTACAAATTAACATATGATATATCAGTACATTATCAAATTTAGCCGTGTAAACAAGGTATATACAACTTTTTAGATTATTACTTTTAATATAAAAACCAAGGAAGAGTTAAAAAATATTCATAGTATATTAATTTTCCAGCACTGACGTTTAACTCACAATGTGAAAAATTACCTTTTATACATTCTTGTTCACTCCCAGCACCAATATTGATGGTACCTTTACCATCATTACAGGTAAGACAACGAGTTTGATTTGTGTACGGCTGGTAAGTAGAGCTGGGACATTTGTTACTTTTCTTATTTAGAAACGAGAGAAATGAACCATTGGAACAATCTGAAAAGACAATTTTTGAAAATAAAACATTGATTGACAATTGAAAGTTTACAGTTGATTTATTTATTGTATTCAATGTTTTCTGTCTCAGTTTATTGTGTATCTACTCACGATAGCTTCAACGATTAACTATGAAGAAAAAGTAAGTCGCTTGGACAAACTGCCGAAGTTTATTTTTAAGTTGTAAAAATATGCGTAAGTTGCGTACCCTAGATAGACCCATTGTAAAATTAACTGTGACTTGGCCTTTTTTTCCCCTTAGTTCCTTGATCACCACTTAATGACCACAGTAAAGGACTGTATCCATTATGAAAATATTCTTGGTAGATGTTTAATGTCCCATAATAACTGCGATCCATGTAATACGAAAAAGAAAAACACATGACAGAGTTGTTGCTATAATTTCCCAGCAACCAAGCTTTGCCTTGTAAATAGTATCGCATTTCAGCATACACATATCGTCCTACAACACATGAAGAAATGTAAGATATATGTAAACTATATATATAAAGAATGCATATTTGTTGATAAGTCATTTATTTAAAATTGCTTGATCAACCATTACAGTAATGCTCATAAAGAGATCGATTTATGTTGTTCAAAACACCTTGTAAACTAATATAAGTAAGATTTTTGTGTAATTGTAAAATTTATTTCACCAAGTTTTCTTTTACAAATTTATGAATATAAAATTATCGTGGTTCAGATGTGGCGCAAGAGGAAGAGCAGGGGCGGCTACATCACCCCCATCGGGGAACACTATAATTCGTATGACGGGGAAAATTTGAATGTTTGTCAAGAGTGGACAGAAAATTAAAAGTTTCCAATTTCGATAGTTGTTGTTTGTTTGTAGCTTTAACCAGTCAGAGCTTTTGAACATAAAGTAGACAAAATAAAAAATTGAGAAAAATTTGTTTCCTCAAAGATTCTAGCTTTTGGATTTTGCATACGGCAGTAGATAATTTTATTATGTTGAAGCAAACTTCAGCGTTATGCCGATAGCTACTTTTAGTGCTCTGGTTAAAGATGTTGTATCAATCGTCATTTTATTCGATACATCATGATAATTAAGTATATATCCTAGGACACCTGAATTTTCTTCGGATATGTTTACGATTATTATGACCTAAGTCTTTTTGCTTTTGCAATAAGAAGTTGAAAGCCTGTAACGTAAGAGAGAAGTTCTAAGTGTTCTCAAATGAGACTGAAAAAATGGACAATTATGTTGATATTCCCGAGAATGTACAACTTGTTAGTGTTAAAGAAGCTACTGTGCTTCTGGATCGATATTTATTGCCATAAATTTCGATCCTGTACGAGATCAAGAAAAACGTTAATGCTAAGTTGAAGAAGAGCTTTGATGACAAGAACATTGTCGTGATGAGAGGAAATAGCAGTTACTGCTTTGTCCCATCGATTTTACAACATTCATGGATGAAAAATCTTGCGACTTTCGCAGACTCATTCAATAGCACAACTACCAATTTCCCTGTAATTGTTGCCATGCGTATAAAGCACTTGCAATAAAGAACTTAAAAACAATAAAGAAAAACTAAACAAATAAGAATAATCTTAAAGAAATTAAAAGAAGCCTTATCTGAGCGTTAACTGCCTGCAGTTTGCTGGTGTGACGTGTCATCAACTAAATTCAAAGGGAATTTCAGATCAATTCAAAATCGGAGTAGTCATTTTCTAAAACAAAATCTCACTAAACGATCTCCGTTCATCAATAAAGCCTCTCTATTACATAAATCAATGACATCATACCAAAACTGAAGCCTTCGTCGTTATAACGTGATCTTCCATATTGTGAACTAAGTCTTCAGTCAAATTTGTCAATGCCCTCCACGTTGCTTCACAAACCTAAATTCCAAGTCATTCACATTCGAATTGGCTTAGTACGATCTGCACGTCACAATTCACAAGCGTAATTACATTAAGTAACAACCAATATTTATTATCTTACTCGCTTTACCAAGCTATCCTGTTCTCCATTTACAAAAACTCACTCAGTGTTGCAAGAGATCAAATAAGTTCTTTATCTTGAAACGATATTTTGTCTACTTGAACACAATTAAAAAGCTCTTCTGTTTTATAACTTATTATACGTCAAGGAATTGCGGACAATCCAGTTGTAATCATCAACTCCCTCAACATTGTACCATGGACATGAATTCGTACCCAGGCCATGTTCAAAGTCACAGACTTTAGAGTCAGCACTCGCTGTAAGTAAAAAGGAGAGGAATCAAGCAAGGCAAGTTATATTTAAATACAACATTGAAAAAAGAGTTTTTTTTTCATTCTAATTCGTAAGATTGTATTTCACTGGCTATGTAAGCCAAGTTTATCGGAAAAGTTTTTCTCTTTATCGGAAAAATATTGTAAGGGGCGAGTGGCTGAATGGTTAATGGCGTGACTGTAAGCCAGACGGTGCGGGTTCAACCGCAGCTCGTGGCACATTTAGCAATGTGTCTGCAAACCTAGCCTGGGTTGACCAAAGTCATGTGAGGGAAATTTGGTAGAGGAAACTATGTCCTCGGATGGACTGTACCTGTATCTGCAATGCTGCAGCCTTGTCACACTGTGTCACGCTGATATCAGCGTTGTGGTTGCGTGAAGGGTACGAGTGATAGTAGTCTGGTCAGCTGTCTTCGCTATAATAGTAACCAGGATGTTCCACTTCGCGGAACCCTCATACGTCGAAATCGACGGAGTCCATTATTATTATTATTATTATTATTATTAAGCCAAAATTAGTGTGAAGAAATTTGTTTAAAGAAATTTTTAAATTTTCTTGCATACATACGTCGCATGAAATTTATTAGACAAAGGAAATGATTTAGAAAGAGAAAAGAAACTTTATTTAAAAAGTACAAAAAATAAAAGCTTTGTTTGCAAAAGCTATTCTTACCTTCAATCAAATGAATACATCGACTTTTTTATGTTATTATAAAATACATACAATTTTCGTTGATATTATCAAAGAAAACTTTCAATGTGAAAAGGTAAAGATTTATTTAAGATTTCATACCTTGTGATAACGTAGTACTGACTAACAGCAAAAATGTCAAATCTATCATTGTAATGAAGCTGCTGAAATAGAAATTGTGAAAAATATATTTCATTTTATCGTCATTTTATGAACATCTTCTATGCCTATAGTGGTGAAGGTTTTGATTACTTTATATATGCGATTTAAAGTTTATAGATCGTATAATTTCTTTTTGCACCAGCGACAACATTCGCTTCAACATATCCGTGCGTTACCAAACCTACATTAATACATTGTATGCATTTTTTATCCGAAGACGAGTTTTGATTTTTTTATGAATTTTGAAAAAATTCGAATATTCTAACAGAAAAATAATAAAACAGCTCAACTATTCATAACTAAAGTTTGCACATTAATATGGCCACGTAAAAAGTCAACTTCCGCCTGAAGGTTTTCGCTCGAACGCAGCTTACATTATGCTATCGAAAAAGTATCCATATGAGACCACACACCATACCCGCGAGAATTATCCTCGGGAATAGTCGGAAATGCGGACGATGATGAGGAATACCGTTTTGTGCGTTCGTCTCTTTATCGGAAAAATATTCCAACTTGCTTTGCTAACAATTTTTTATCTCATTCTGTCGATTGACTTACTCTCAGAATAAGAGTAAGGAAAACTAAATTTTGTGTGTTAAAGTTAATAAAAGTAAGTATTTCATCATTAAGTAATTATGCTTGCTCAATTGCACTTTCTGATGGAAGATTTATGGTATAATTGTACTGTGTGTAAGGTCAATCAAAGAATGAATATGAATCCAAGCGCACATACATATCATAGTATAAATGTTATACATTGGCTATATGTCATAGTTTGCACTGCGAAGTGTCTATCCGCGTACAAAGATAAAGCAAAAGCTTTTTTGAAATCAGCAAAGAGGTGGTGGCTTAATCCTAAGAAAATGTTGTTATTTTGAGAAATATTAACTAAAAACATTACGGCCGAAAAATTGACTTGTATGGTTTGCGATATTCCTTGTCATCTATTCAAGCGGAAATAAACATGAGCTCGATTTATCCATTGTACAAACAATTAAAACATTACAAACCTTCATAAAAAATTTTTAAATAAAAGATATTGTTTAGTGACAATGACAAATATCAAATCTAACTCTTTCCAGCAAAAAGTACTAGTAACTTGTACTTAGTAGTTACTATGCTGTACTGTCTTGTATGTAGTCTAATTAAGTATTATATGAATTACTCATACATTACTCTGTTGACTCATACAGACTTACAATACTCTGCTGGTGATTTTCATCAAACGCAGAAAGCAAATAAACTTGTTTTGCCGTCGAATAGCATATGAAGTAAAAATATTATTTGTGTCGATTAACAATTTTACATGAAGTAAAATATGAGACGTGTTAAAGTGCCCTTCCACCAAAATTTTTTTAGCAATATCAAATCTGCCTATGTTTTTAAGCCTCTTTGAGAAAAAATATTTGAATTTGGTCAAATCGTTTGATTTTGGTAAAGCATTAAATTCTCTAAAATCGTCAGTTTAGTAGTTTAATTGCCGAATCAAAAGAACGCTAATTTTCTCAGGCTTAAAAAAGATGAGATTCAAATTTGTGTGTTTTCCGACCACCTATGCTTTGGAGTCAAAATCCGAATCATTATCGCTCAAGTTTTATTGCCTTTCGAGTTTTCTATCACGTATCCCGGTATAAAGTTTTTGTCAGATTTATCTAGCTGAACACTCAATTCTGATTCATTGCTTTCTTAGGAAGACATAATTTCCTCGAATATTATAATAAAACAGCGTGAAAGAACGTGTATGTTTAATATAAGCTAAATATGGCCGAATGCCGACTACCTTGGATGACGTCAAAATACCTTCTAGTGCTAGTTTCTTTTGTATTACAGAAAACGACGGCGATGGGGCAAAAATGCTAAAAGAATAAACAGCTACACTGGGTTCCATAACTAAAGAAAATTTTCAAATCTTGAATTTTAATTTGTAAAGTTGATTTTCAGAGACTTCATTGATTTCATAGTTGTCCAATTAAAATTTTGACTTTCATGCAACCATATGTGACGTACAAATGTGCTACAATTTTAGACACAAAATTTCTATAAGATAGCAGTGAAAACATAGTATAGTAGTTACCAATATGAATGGCTCATCGAAATTGTATTGTTTACATTGAAATAATCAAACCACCTTCAGATTTGATTAAAATCAAGTAAATAATAATATTGCTAGAAAATGCACCAGAAAATCAGAATCAAAATGTTTGAGTGCGGCAGTTTAAAGTCATTCTTTTTATGGCTGGTGCACACAGATTGATTCAACTTTCATCATCAACTTCCTTAAGCAATGTTTGAAGGCATCAATTAACGCATGCAATTTGAATTGCAAAAAAATAACTTAATTCATATGCACGCACAATATCTATAAAATTCATACTCGCATAAGTAAAATAAAATAAAACAGGAATGTTGAAACAATGAGCCTTGCAAAATCTTTGCACACTAGTTGTACAATAATAGATTGCATTTCGAACAGGAGTAACTTTATTGATCCTAAAGGATTAAATTTAACTTCCATGCAACTGTCGGTGATATTGTGAAATTAGGCAGATTGTGGTGTGAAACGTGGCTTTATGTAAACCATCTAAAATTTTCAAAACATCATCTAGTTATAGCAAACAAAAAGCAAAACAATTGGATTATATGAAGTACTGAATAATCATGATGTCGAGTATAAAAAACATCAATTTTGAGATAAAGTGTTTATTTCCCATGCAGTTAAATTTTAGTAGACATTCTAACCTGGTGGTTGTGTCTTTTCATATATACCTTATCCTCCTCCTCATCATCAAGCTTCTTTTATTCTTCCTCACTTCTTTCTATCGAAAATATTATGAAATTCAATCTGCTCAAAGTTTCCACGCGAGTTCTCTAAGGTGTTAAACCAAAATGAAGCATTTCATTGCTGGAGAGCGATAACCACGAACTGTTTTCAAAAGTCTTTTTGAAACTGTGCTGTACTTATGAAACGGAAAATGCTATTTATGGATTGTGGAAAGTCCGCTAGGTGTGAGAAGGGTGGGAGGAAAGTTAAAACATTGAAAGTAGAACAATCCTTAAAGAGTATAATGCGGAATCTGTAAAACACAGGATGTATAATACAACAACTAAAAGATGAAAAATAATATTTAGTTGAAATATAAATTATTACCGTGACGATATCGTTCAGAGCATTACGCCACACGGCGTACCGACAGTGGACGGCTTGGGTGCATGGCAGATTGGGAAAAAAGTACCGACTACCCATACCTTCTTGTGCTGTGGAAAAAATCCGGAAAGCATTTCCTTCGACTTCTGGAGAATACAAAGGATTTGAATACGCTCAACACTACTGAATGGTAGGGCTTATGGCGTATGACAAAGTCTGTTCATTTGTAATTATGTTTATTTCATGTGGGACGTTATTTCTTTTTAGTTATTAAAGCGAGATTTATGTTGCTTAATGGCTTCAGCTTTGCTGATTTTTGATTTGTGATGAGTCAATGGGATATGTATTTCTTTCACTCCAGCGACATCATGAGCTTTGGACAGTGTTGGATTAATGCGTCTGCAGTACAAAACTTCTTTCATCAAGTCCTTAACATATCCTGAAAAGCAAATCATTATTTATGTTGGCTTTGCATTGCACTTTGAGAAAAGGTAAAAGGATTTGAATATGCTCAACACTGCTGAATGGTAGGGCTTATGGCGTACGACAAAGTCTGTTCATTTGTAATTATGTTTATTTCATGTGGGACGTTATTTCTTTTTAGTTATTAAAGCGAGATTTATGTTGCTTAATGGCTTCAGCTTTGCTGATTTTTGATTTGTGATGAGTCAATGGGATATGTATTTCTTTCACTCCAGCGACATCAAGAGCTTTGGACAGTGTTGGATTAATGCGTCTGCAGTACAAAACTTCTTTCATCAAGTCCTTAACATATCCTGAAAAGCAAATCATTATTTATGTTGGCTTTGCATTGCATTTTGAGAAAAGGTAAGTTTATTTTTATGTGCTAACCATAAGTGCTGTCAACTTTCACTGGTTTGATGACCCCTTGTCCTTCTTTTGACTTTGAATAAGCCACTCTCCAAATCAATGCCTCTTCTGTTTGCCCATCATTCTTCGTTTTCTGAGCTTTATTTCCATTCTCATTGAAATGAAGAGCAGCAATAAACAATCTACAAATAAATGTTAAGTTTATGTTTACAACTATTGCAACTTATTGCTTTTGCAATGATGACTTTTTTAAGTAATCATACACAAGTCATACTTATATTACCTTGCTTCCATTGATCTGTAGAAAAAATGGGTATGTTTTCATGCAAAAAGAATCACCACTCGGTGGAAACCTTCGATGGATGAAGTCTGCTTCTGATAACTGAGTTTTCCAATATCTCTCATGAGATACTTGGACTCGACAATTGAAGACAGCTCAACATAAGCTTTTGAACCTAAGATCAGAAGTTAGTTAACAAAAAGAAAAAGAATGTTGATGTTACTTTGAAATTTATTTGCTTACAATACCTTTTTTATCCACATTCTAGGCTCTAACATATCATGTTCACATTTTGGGAATACATCACTATGTCCCTCATGGATGTCACATATATGATTGAGAACTGACAACCACTTTGCCTTGACAAGTTCTTCATCACCATTGCTGGAAGCAGCACACCAGTATACATGGTTGGAAATTGATTGGGCCCAATCCGACAATAATTTGCAACCACTTTTTTTGATGCTGCCAAAATTTTCTTTTTGATTCCTGTTGGAATTTGATTATTGATGAAATGTGTAAAAGGTTGGTTTGTTATGACAATCTATACCTTTTGCTACATGCCATACATCAAAGTAGTGCGCGATTTTTGGTCTTTGTTTTGACATGTAGGATTTGATTTGAACATGTCTGTCTGTGGTCATCGACTTCACCTTCATCCCACTTTCATCAAACTTTGCCAGACATCTTTTTAATCCCTCAAGCTCCATTGCTCTAGAGTTGGTCACTTCATTGGACTGTTTAACATAATTATGTGAGTATTCTAACCATGTTTTATGTACAGTTGTTGAAGAATTGTTACCTGAACAAGTTGTGTGTCTAAAATGTTGTTAGATTCCAAATCCATGCAGCTATATGACCCATACTTGGCACAATATCCAGGCGAATCACATCTTCCATCTCCTTTAAGGTTAATGTTCCTTTCTCTGATTGATTCTAGAAGATGCTTTTGGTTCATATGCCAAACATTTGAAACACTGGGTATCAAATACGCTGTTTGAATATGGCTATATGCACGCTCTGACAGAAATTGTATGCCTGAGTGATGAAGGAATTGAAGAACTTTGCTGGGGCTACTACCACTAAACAAGATGCTGGCTGCAAAGACCAAGTTGCCCAAAGGCATTCGCCCATGCAGAGGTTGGCTATTCCAGTCTCGAACATAACCACAATGACATTTTGCTACTACGTTAACCATACTACCAGTCGTTTTGGTCACAATGGAACAGCTTTCACCACAACATGGGCATTGACTCACTAACTGTCTCAGGCAACTGTTAAACACTATGTATTTTCTCTCATTTTGAACGTCTTCCCTATAACATAAAAATTACCATCAGAGTCAGAAAGAGATAAACGTAACGTTCTGAGAAACATATAACAGAGAAAAGCAATGTAAAGAATAGTCAGGTGACTGGATAGTTGGTACTAACGTTGCATTGTCATTGTCGGATTCTTCATTTTCGCTTAACCCATTTGAACATTGAGAGTCTGATCCATTGTAGCTATTGCTCATCGTCGACGTGCTTTCTGTATCTATGGAAAGCCATAGTGTACAAAAGTAGTCGAGATTTTTTTTTTATAGTCGAGAATTTTTTTTTTATAGTCGAAAATTTTTTTTTTACAGTCGAGATTTTTTTTTTATAGTCGAGAATTTTTTTTTACAGTCGAGATTTTTTTTTATGGTCGAGAATTTTTTTTTATAGTCGAGAATTTTTTTTTTACAGTCGAGAATTTTTTTTTACAGTCGAGAATTTTTATGGCAGTCGACATTTTTTTCGCAACAATTTTTTCCGCGTTTATAGGCGCATTAAAAACAATATGGCGACTGAATCTTCATCAGGCGCAAACGAGATACTTTCGCAAATATTTAACCGTATCGAAGAATTGTCGGATGCCTTGGCAAGTACTGAGGCATCTTCCAATAACTATGCTAGTGTTGAAGTTCACGACTCGGTTGAGAATGAAGTAAGAAAGACGTTTGGACAACATTCATCATCATCAGGTATGGAAGTAAATCAACCAAGTAATACAACGCAGTCGCACTGCACAAATCATACATCCGTCACAGCTTCCTCTTCACATCTGGCAACTCCTTCCTACAATACCAGAAGATATTTCGGTGACCAACGGTCAACTATGAGATCAAATCGTCGGAGAAAATGTTCTAAATCGAAAAAAGTTAGTACTGGGCCATTCTCGCGTGATCTTATCTTACTATCAGGTCCAGATGACAAGAATGTACCTCGTCAAGGAGGAAAAGTTTTTCTGCAGGAAAATGGACACATCATCAGTGCGTTTGAATTTCACAAAGAGTAGACTGACATTGACGTAGAACTTGAAATACGCCAAGCTTTTCAAGGAACCCTGCCTGATGACGTGGAAATTGAGATTGTGCATTCTGTCCATACAGCACTTCTCAAACCTACATTAGCTCAAGGTCAATATTTAAATGGTTCTGTAATCAACAGAATCTTTAGCACCAACAAACCAGTTTATATTAGGCCATGTAGACAAATCCTAAATCAGCCTACAAGTAAAGAGAAACGTAAAAGGTATAGTCTTCCAGAAAATGTGTTTGACGATGTTGAGGATGATGAATTATGGAGGCTATCAAATGATTCAAGTCTTAATGAAATCTTAACTAACATTTTCCAAGGTGGGATTTGAAAAAATATTCTTTTTTTTATTGTTTTGGAGTAAAATCTTATAAAAAATCTATAGCAGTATATATACGTGTTCTAGAGATGGAAAAAGATTAAAATATATAATATAAAGCTTTTTATACATTGAAAGGAGCAAAATTGTGTAATGTCTATATTTCAGTATTTGTCATAAACACTTATTCATATATTGTAATTTATCAAGCAAATCAAGTTCAATTTGGAGAAACAAATCAAGCTACTGTGGTCATAGATGAACCCTTGAAGCAACATGAAGCCATTAATGATAAGCAGCTTGATGATGCTGTTGCAGATATGACCAATCCTGAACCTTCTACTGAAATGCAAAACAACCAGTGTGAATTGTTTGAAACAAACTTGGAAGAACCATTTGATTTACAAGGTAACTGATGTTTCCATGCATATGAAAATAAAATGAGTCAGACATTGTTAAAGTTATTGACCCAGTTAAAGAATCAAATAATCACAACTACATTAAATAGTTTATAATAAAAACAATTAAACCACTAAAACCATGTTGTTTGAAATACAAATAGTTAAATGTATCCTTATGTCTTCCTTAAGTCTTCCACAATATTCATCATTATCATCATCATCATCATCATCATCATCATCATTATCATCATCAGTATTATTTTTATTTTTATTTATATAGAGTATGCCAAAGAAACTATACAACCTAGTTGAATATTTTATGCCTGTTATCTTTAATTGTATCCCAAGTACCCTAGCATTTTTCCATTAGTATCCTTATTAGTACTTGCATTATTTGTATTATTGCTATTCGTACTACTATCAATATTATTAAACTGTGATAAATTTTATCTGCAGACATCGATCACTCACTTTTACCAAAAGTGTTATAAAAATAGATTTGTTACTTATGCCTGATAAAAATCTTTGTTTTTTGTGATTGTAAAAAGTGCTATATTATTTGATTTGAAAGATGATGGAGACGTAAATATTGATGCAGATGGTGAATTATACAGTGGTAATCAGCTTCATGAAAACAATCGTTTGGCTAAGGAAATCACCATTAACCGCCACAATGTGTTAGCAGACATGATTATTGCGTTCAAGGACGAAAGTATTTTGTCGTGTTGCCTAGAGATTGTATTTATCGACGAAGCAGGAGATATCGAAAACGGAAGAGGTTCTGGTGTAAAACGAGAGGCGCTTAGCATATTTTGGAGAGAGTTTTATAACTCACTGGCTACTGGTGCTTCCGAAAAAGTTCCAGCTATACGTCATGACTACCAACAGAGTGAATGGAAAAGTATTGCTCGTATTCTTGTTGCAGGATTTACTAACTTTGGATATTTTCCTGTTACTTTGTCCAGTGCATTTATTGCTTCCTGTCTTTTTTCGGAGGACGCGATTCCTAAGGATTGGCTAATAGAGTCTTTTCATCAATATATATCAAAGGACGAAAGTGACACTTTAAAAAGAAGTATCAGTGATGAATGCCCCGACCCGTCATTGGACGAAGATGTAGCTGACGTGCTTTCAAGTTTTAAGTGGCGCAGGGTGATTAAAAAGAGCTCGATGCCAAAAAGTATTGAGGAGTTAGCTCATCAAGAAATAATACAGCGTCCAAAATACGTGGCTAATGCATGGTAACCGATCCTGAAGCAACTGAAAGGTTTTAAGCAATTTGAAACTGTTGAGAGTTTGGTGAGTTTTTATGAAACAAAAAAGCCGAACCAGAAAAAGGTTTGCAAGCTTTTTATTTCAAGCCCAGCCTCTGATGCCGAACGGGAATGCTTCTCTCATTTTAAGTGGTTTGTTAAATCTCTTGACGACAACGTTATTAGTGTTTTTCTCCAGTATGTTACTGGTAGCAACATCATTGCAGTTGATTCAATCGAGGTTGCATTTAGTGATGAATCAGGTAACGCACGTCAACCTGTTGCGCACACATGTGCTCCTCTACTGATAATACCATCAACTTACCAGTCATACAACGAACTGTCCGAGGAATTCAATAACATTTTTCGACGAGAAGCTGCATGGTCATTTTACATAGTTTAATAGATAATGGATAAAGACAAGCAATTAAACAACAATGTTGTGGTTGAAGTTATACTATACTGTATACGTACGTATACAACTGTTCTGTTATAGTGTTCTGTTATCAAGAGTTTTACTTCACAATATCCCATTATATGATACATTTATGTAGTAAAAAATTGTTTTGTAGATAAATTATAATGTATATTGTGTTTCTCTTCACCAAATGCAAGAACGGCAAACCTCTTAAAAAATCCTTTGACTTCTAATATGTGACAATGAAAGCTGTTACGACGATTGTTGATAAAATGGTATATTTTTAAGGCTCAACTCATTCTAATAATCTTTCATTAAATAGTTTCTATTGTTCCTAAAAAATATTTTGCAAATATTGACGAACTGTGAGGTAGTGGTGAATTCCGTGATTGCCGTCATCACTTAAAGGTTCCGGAACAAGGCGGCGTATTTCATTGACATGATCTTCGGTCAACTCAGCTGAATTTTCAGGGACAGCAACCATATTGTCCGTTTCGATATCACCTACCGCGCCATCAGGATCAATGCCATATAAATTTACATTATCGATATTAACGTCTGTTAAATCAGTGTCATTAAGCTCAGAACGCCATAGTGCTAGGGGCGACATGCTCCGCATAGTTCAAAGTCCATGATGATTCCATTGGTTGACAAACTCATTGAGTGAGGCTTGTATTGCAGGAATGTAAACGTGGTGCAGAGCATACAAATCGATTTCATCGTGCGCATCAAGAAGCTCGCTTTCCTCCATAAAGTGGAATAGATCTTTATAATAGGAGGAACTCACTCTATTCACCTCCGCCCAAAGGCGCTCAGTTCTTTGGTTATGCTCGCTGCGTCCGGCTATGAAGCTTCCTCTGTTTAGACCTCTATTAGCTATCATAAACCGTGCAACGTGTACATTTTCCACCCCCCTATCGCCACGTACGCGAGATGGAATCCCAAATCTTTGTGCACCATTGACAAAACATTGCAAAACAGTATGCGCAAGATTGTTCGTGAAGCATTTCAAATAAATAATAGTTCTGCTATAGCCGTCGATGCAACCATGCAGGACAAATCTCCAAGTGATGAGTTTGTCATTGGAGTCAATGTGCCAGAGATGATTTGGTTTCCTCACATTGTACACCCGCCTTTGTATAGCGTATCTCCGTCTTATGGCACGGTTAATAGGGTCAATAGTTTCTAATGCTTCCCTAACTCTCCACCTTTGGATATGAATACCCCGACCACGCAAAGCTCCTCTTACGTAAGTTTCGC